TCATCATGCTGTTCTCTCTTATTGCTCTATCCTATCATATCTTTTTACAGTTTATATATTCTAACAAAATCTTTCAGGCAATAAAAGTCATAAAAAAGTTGATTTCATAGATAAAGACATGACTAAAAATAGACATTTGACATCTCTCATGCAATATATCTTTTTTCCACTTTATTTTTTTTGTGTTTATTTATTACTAAAATTAAGATAAGATTGCCTTTATTGCAAATTTCTGTGAATTAGAAAAAAAAGATCAATTCCAATTATTACCTTCTAAACCAAACCATCCCAAAATTCTACTGACATTCTTTCAAGTCACTGTATTTAACCCTAGACTTGAGGCTTGTAAAGCTCACAGAATACTTGAGACTCATTCTTGCTTTTTTGGGTCAAATTAAAGTTAAAGTCACTCGTATGTATTCAAACTTCACGCATTCTCTATCATTTAATGGTAACAAGTGTGGAAAGAGTTCACCCAGCACCAGGAAAGACTAAAACTAAAACTACCATAGAACTCACTGCTGTACAGTTTAATCTTAAAATAAATAAATAAATAAATTTTAAAAAAGCTTTCGCATCTGCTGCATGGCATTATCAGCAGTAAGAGCAGTGCACAATTTAGCCCTGAACTGACGGTCCTAATTCTGCCCTATTTTAGCATTCTCAGCAGGATCACATCCTTGTTACAGGCAGAAAGTACAGAGGCATCTGAATGGCTCACTTTCTTCATATCCATTTCCATTATGACTTCTTGGTTTCTTTTCAGTCCGTATAAATCTTTTCATCCTTGCTACGGGATCTCTCCGCACAGACAGCAACGTGCAGACTTATCTCCTGGGAAAGGCACTTTGGACCTCTCTCAATATTTTTTCACTTTTGCTCTCCACCAGTCTCATCTTCACTAGGGATCAGTGGTGATGATTACGTATTGGCTGAGAAGAAGGAGGCTTCTTGGCACCGGGGTTGAGGGTCAGCTTTTTCAAGTCCTTTGCTATTATTTCTGGCTGTAAGACTGAATCATCACAGGAGTCTTGTTCATTGCTTGTCTGAGGAGATTTTGACTTCAGAACAGGGTTGAACAGCTCTGATGGCTCCTCCATGGTGCTGGGCAGAAGCCTCTAAAGCTCCAAACAAAATTGCTTAGTCTTGGAAAACTCACCAGCAGAGGCAAAGTGAGCCCCTCATGCAATATATCTAAGTAGCCTCTCATGAGCAAGCAAGGAGCTGTGTGTAAGCTTCTGATTATCTAAGGAGACCTGTAGCCTCTCACAGCTTGGGCTTCAAGTTAGACCAGTCATTGCTTGGCCACTATAGAAGCTCTGAGCCACCATTGCTCCTTCATATCTTGCAGGCAGGACAAGTGTAGTTCTAAACTTGTGTGGCTGGCTTGGTGTGCCTGTCCCACCACTGAGAGCCTTATGTGCTTACAGAAGATGGCTGATTCAGCCTCTGTATTCTTGATTACTAGGAGTCCTCACTGGGGTCACCCTTATAGGTTCCAGGAAGTTTGTACTGCCCTGTTCTGACATTCCCCACTAAAAGCTCCCCATTCCAGGCATCTCTCCCTGTCTTTTCCCCCTCTGTCCCTTCCTTACTCACCTGACCCTTTCTGTTCTCATCCTCACCTGCCTCTAGTCTACCCACAAAAATCTATTCTATTTCCTCTTTTCAGGGAGATCCATGCATCTCTCCTAGAGCTGTTCTTGTTACTTAGCCTCTCTGCATCTATGGATTGTATTGTGATTAACTGTGATTACAGTGATTCTACTTTACTTAACTGCTAATATCCATGTGTAAGTGAGTACACCATGTTTGTCTATGTGCTTCTGGGTTGCCTCACTCAAGATAATAAAATACCTCAAGAAACTAGACAACAACAAACCAAATAATCCAATTATAATGGGGTATCCCTCTAAACAGAATTCTCAGTAGAAGAACCTAAAATATCTGAGAAAGACTTGAAGAAATGTTCAGCATCTTAGTCATCAGGGAAATGCATATCAAAACTACTTTGAGATTTCATCTTACAGATGAATGGTTAAGTTCAATAACACAAGTGACAGCTAATGCTGGCAAGGATGTGGAGCAAAGGGATTCATTGCTGTTGGAAGTACAAACTTGTACAGCCAGTATGGAAATCAATATACAATCCTCAGAAAACTGGGAGTCAATCTACCTCAAGACCCAGCTATACCACTCTTGGGTATATAACCAAAAGATGCTCCTCCATCCTACCAAAATGACACTTGCCCAACTATGTTCATAGTGGCTTTATTCATAATAACCAGAAACTGCTATGTCTGTGATAGATTGTGTTGATTGAAGATTGATGAGGGAAGACTCCTCCACTGAGGGTGGCAATATTGCTAAGAAAGTGGGTCTTGGCTGGAAAAGGGAGCAATATGAGCATGAGAGTGACTAGGCAGGAGAGAAAGCCAGGAAACAATCTTTGCCCATGGGTTTTGCCTTCAATTGTTAGCTTGAGTTTCTGACACAATCAGCCAAATAAACCCATTCATTGCCTGGGATGTTTTTTTGTTAGAGGATTTAATCACAGCAGCATAAAACCAAGTTAGAACAAAAAAAAAAAAAATGGAAGAGCAAAAGTGATTTTGTTGCTAGGTACAACATTGGAACATTGTCTTTTGGGAGAACGTGAAAGATATCGGGACTTTAGGTGGCGAAAACCAGAGTAAGTTGTATACAGAACTTAATTGGCTGTTCTTGTAGGACCAGGAAGATGGGAATGTTAAGAATAATGGCAGAAAGTGGACTTTGAGATTATAGGATTTCAGTCAGAAATAGACTCCATAAAAATTAAGCTAGAGGTCATTTGTATGATATTTTGGCTCCAAAATCTTATTCTGCTCATGCCCTGGAAATTTAGTAATGCAGAATTAAAAAATAATGGGCTAATTTCTTAAATGGAATATCAAATCTGTTGGATGGTTAATACTGATGACTCATTCAGGTCTACAGTTGAAAAAAAACAAGTGGGGCAGAAATAAATGAAAATGCGAGGGTAGTTTCAGATGGCAGTCAAGTGCTGAAACAGGCAGGAATTTTCAAGGAGTTTATCACCATTATAGAGAATGCCCTTGCTATGGAATGAAAGCCTAGTAAAATGACCTAAGGGTAAGGGTCCATGCAGCTAAACCCTCAATTTATGGAAGGAGTAAGCAAAATGATTCCTAGTCACAGGAAGCAGCTTCATACTAAACCTGCTGCACCTATGGTCCATGTATATTTGTGTCTACCCCAGTTAAGAAATCAGACTTTGCAGGATCAGTCATTATGTGTTGGTCCTGGAAACCAGAAGGAATTATTATTTAAGGTCATGTATTCTTAGTCTTTGGTTACAGTTCAGCATTGTTGTAGGCATCTGTGTTTTGCTGAGTCGGAAACACAGTGAGGAGATTGCATGAAGCTGTGAGGATGAAGCCTAGTGGTGTTGGATTTTTTTTTCAATTCTTTACTGTTTTAGGGGCATGCCTGCACCAACTCTCAAATAAATTACAAACATGGGGGCTTATTCTCATAAATGCCTGGCCTTAGCTTGGCTTGATTCTAGCCAGCTTTTCTTAACTTAAATTACCCCATTTACATTTTACCTCAGGGCTTTTATCTTTCTCCATTCTGTGTACCTTTTTTTTTTTTTTTTTACTTCTTATTCCACATCTTGCTGTGCAGCTGGCCCCTGGTGTTCTCTTCTTTTCTTCCTCATTCTTTCTTTTTTTCCTCCCAGACTTCTCCTCCCATTTATTCTCTCTGCCTGCTGGCCCTGCCTATCTTTTCCTGCCAAGCTATTGGCTGTTCAGCTCTTTACTAGACCAATCAAGTATTTTAGACAGGCTTTAGAAGTATCACAACTTCACAGAATTAAACAAATGCACCATAAAAGAATGCAACACATCTTTGTATCATTAAAACAAATGTTCCACAGCATAGACAAATATAACATATCTTAAAATAATATTCCACAACAGCCTGGGTTGCATTTTGTGACCACAAGATGTTGAGATACCTAAGGTTTGAGACATCTTCCATGGAGTGCTAGCTGCATACAGCGAGTGGAAGTAACCAGGGAGAGAGATGTATGAGAAGTTGCTGGGATAGGGTCATCTGAGCACTTTGAAACTGAAGCTCCATGCATCTGAAGCAGAGCTATAAGATTTGGTATTTGTGCTGCTGTGCTTCAGTTTTGCCTTGGTTTAATCTTTCCTTGCTATGTCTCCATTTCTCTGTTTTGGAATGTGAACGGCATTTTGTGAAAGATAATAACTCATTTTCTGATTTTATAAGATGTCACTGTCAAGAGATTGTCTTGAGTGTCGTAAGAGACTTTGGATATTTGAACAGTATAAAGGCTGCTGCAGATTATGAGGATCATTGAAGTAACTAAATGCATTTTTCTTTATGGATGACCATGAGCCTATAGTGACCTGGGTCAGAATGTAGTTGATTGAATGAAAAACCTCCCAAATAGAATGAAGTATTTGAACATGTGCCTCTCCTTGGTGACTTTCTTTTGATTGCTTGTAAAACCTTAAGTAGGAGGAGCCTTTCTGGATGAAATTCCTCACTGGGGGTGTGATATGTGTCTCTATAGCCTCAACCCATTTCCTGTTCTTTGTGTCTACTGTGTTGTGGTTAAAACTAATTATCCACCTTCCTTGTATTGTCATGCCTTCACCACCATTATAGACTATATCTCTAAATCACATAAGCTATAGTTGAAGCAATTGCTATTCAGTGCTAAGGCAGTTTGGTAGCCTGCTCTTTTAAATTTTGTTTGTTTTTGAAGACAACATTTGTCTGCGTATCCCCAACTGTCCTAAATATCTCTATACACCAAGCTGGCCTCAAACTCAGAGACCACCCTGACTCTGGCTCCCAAGTCCTAGGATAAAAGGTGGACCATCATGCCTGGATTTTTTGTTTTTATATTATTGGGTAATGGGCCTGGGATGTAGGTTTTTGTACATGTCAAGCATATGCTATTGTACTAAGCTTCACCCATATCTTGAATTTTAAAATTAGGCAGAATGTGTCATTCTGTTTCTCAGGATGCCATGTATTCATCATATTCATACTGCCTGAGCTTTCTGAGTCATTGGATTGTAGGTGCATGACCTTCTTCCTGCCTGTTATGTTTGTTTTGAATTTTTAAATGAATATGAGTATTTTACCTGTATGCATGGATATGCACCACATGGGTACTTGGTCATCACAGTGATCAAATGATAGTCTCAGAAATCCTGAACTTGGAATAGTGGATAGTTGTGATCCCCTGCATAAATATTGGCAATTGAGCTCACCTCTCTGAAAGACCAGCAAGAGCTCTTTACTACTGAGCCATCTCTCCTGCCCTGTGTTGATTATTTATGATCAACATTCATATTGCTAATGTTTTCATCTGTCCATTTATAACTGTTACAACATGCAGTGCCTTTTAGTAAAATCTTATTGATGTTACAGTTTGAATTGGGACACTTCAGATTTCTGGAAGATAGATTTAGAACTGGAGTGAATGCATAGCTCTTTGTAAGAACATCAGTGAAACCCCCTTGGTTCTATCTTTTTGTTTGTTTGACTGATTTTTGCATGGGAAACAGGGTCCTAATATGTACTTCTGGCTGTCCTGGACTTGATTGCATAGGCTAAGCTGGCATTCAACTTAGAGGCAGATTTAACTGCCTCTGCCTTTTGAGTGTTGGGGTTAAAGTGTGAGCCAATACATTCAGCTTGTCAATCTTATTTTTCTTCTTTGTAGTTAGTAATTGTTTATACAATTTCTCTCGTGTACTCTGTATTGTTTATCTGTTTTCTTGTCTCTCTATGTTTTGTAATAGGCATTTCCCTTGCAAGGTGATATCCCATTCAAAGGGTAAAGAAATTTCAGAGGTGACCCTCCTATTCAGTTTCCTTCTAAAGTGACTTCGTGATTACTTTATAATGTCTATAGTATAAGTGTGGGGAGAACCAGAATTATATGTCTATACTGTCAAAGAAGTATACATTTACAATATCAGTATCATGCTTTCTTTTGTACACATGTATGGGATGTTTTAGAATTCAGTGACCTATGATGATGTGCATGTTGACTTCACTAAGGAAGAGTGGGCTTTGCTGAATCCTTCCCAGAAGTATCTCTACAAAGATGTGATGCTGGAGACTTATAGGAATCTCACTATTATAGGTAAGACTGCATTTTTCTTCACATTTTAAAATAAGATGACAACTGTTACTTGGTTATTGATGCTGTTCTGTAATTTAATTGAAAAAGAAGAAGATAAGGTGAATAAGTCAGGCATGGTTCTAAGATTCACTGAAGATAGTAACTTAAATTTTGCACAGTTTTCAATAATATAACACACATTTTCTGGTGCTATATTTTAGGATACAGTTGGGAAGACCATAATATTGAAGAACATTGTCAAAGTTCTAGAAGATATGGAAGGTAATTTTCATGTGCAAGCTGATACAAATGTGCCTCTGAAGAAATTGTAATGTGTCCTGGAAGTTTTAAACAAAAGCAACAGTGTAAATAACGACGACTTAAAGTATATTGATGATTATGAAGTTCTCACAAAACCATATACCTCAATTTACATAGGTGAATTGCATTTGCAAGGCATTCCTTTAAGAAAGAAGACAAGGAAACAATGCCTCAACAGATAGCACCATTTGAATCATAGCACCATGAGAGCTATGCTGTAGAACTGTCAATCCATTTATTTCATCCTACTTGTATTACAAAATGTATACACAGTGAAGAGGTGATAAGTATATCTCCAAAACTTTCTAGTAAGAAAGAGTCCATAGTAAAGCTAGTATTGCTCATATACTTGTGACTATGCTGTTTAGTGAGAGGGGTTTTTAGAGTCAAGAATCAAGAGGCATTGTCATGGAAAAACCTTAATCCATATACCACAAGTCTATGAGGACAGAAAGTCAAACTGAATTCAACGTGGAAATTTTTTATTTGTTATTATTTCTTAACTAGGTATATCATATGTCACTGTGGATACAAGCCATAGGATCATAGGGATATAGAAAAACATAACATTCCTCTCTCTCAGTACAATTAGAAAATATGTAGCAGTCCCCACATTGAATACACTTGTTGAATTTAATTCAAGTATACAAGTAATTGGTTTTCTACCTTCATTGTTAATACATCAAGAAACTTACACTACAGAAAAGCCCTATGAGTTTGAGGACTGTATAAATACAACATGAGTGTAAACACAGTGATTAAAACCTTAAGATCTGATTACTCTTTATAATTGTACCAAATTGTAAAATTAATTCATACAGATATAAGTAATCAACAGTGCATTGAATGTGGTAAGGCTTTTACATGTGCCACTTATCCTTGCAGGCATGAAAGAAGCCAAACTGGAGAGAAACCTTCTGTATATACTCAATGTGCCTTTGCATACGATAGTCAGCTTCAAAGTCATGAAAGAATGCATACTGGAGAGAAACCCCATGAATGTAATCAGTGTGGTAAAGTCTTTGTACAGCACAGTCATCTTCGAAGACATCAAAGAATACATACTGGAGAGAAACCCCATGAATGTAATCAGTGTGGTAAAGCCTTTGCACAGCACAGTCATCTTCAAAGGCATCAAAGAACACATACTGGAGAGAAACCCTATGAATGTAATCACTGTGGTAAAGCCTTTGCACGTCTTAGTACTCTTCAAGTGCATAAAAGAACACATACTGGAGAGAAACCCTATGAATGCAATCAGTGTGGTAAAGCCTTTGCTTATCACAATACTCTTCAAATGCATGAAAGAACATATACTGGAGAGAAACCCTATGAATGTGATCAGTGCGGTAAAGCCTTTGCATGTTACAGTTATCTTCGAAAGCATAAAGGAACACACACTGGAGAGAAACCCTATGAATGTAGTCAATGTGGTAAAGCCTTTGCACAACACAGCAGTCTTCAAATGCATAAAAGAGCACATACTGGAGAGAAACCCTATGAATGTAGTCAATGTGGTAAAGCCTTTGCACAGCACAGTCATCTTCAAATGCATAAAAGAACACATACTGGAGAGAAACCCTATGAATGTAATCAATGTGGCAAAGCCTTTGCACAATATAGTAATCTTCAAGTGCATACAAGAACACATACTGGAGAGAAACCCTATGAATGTAATCAGTGTGGTAAAGCCTTTGCACATCACACTCATCTTCAAATGCATACAAAAACACATACTG